CCTTGGATAATGCCAGATCGAAGCCAGAAAGCATGTATCATATTTCCACAACATGACATGGTCCCCTCGATGGCCGCATATAAGATTCCCACAAATGCCAGAAGGGCCCCAGGGCACTGCATAGCATGAAGAACAAGAAGAAGATATTCTTGGGATAGGCTAGGGAATGCATGTCCATAATCAAGTGCAAATAGAAGAGGGCATTCTTCATCGGCTTCGGGGCGGCACGAAAATCCACGGGCAACGACGTCCAGCTCAGCAACGTTCATGGCGAAGTTGCGGCCTCGCATGAAGCCGCGCTGCGATGGTGGCACAAAGGCGTCCAGAGGTTTCCGAAGCGCCGCATTCACTGACGCCGTGATGATTTTGTAGCCGGTGTTCCGAAGGCCCAGAACCCTGACAGAGTTCACATCCCGATCACATTCGCCTGCCTGTGTATCACCATCGCACTCTCCTTTCGGCAAGAAAGCCTGCAGCGTGAGGCTCTCGCTCGCATACGGGGCCACGCCCGTAAACATGTCCAGCATTGCATCGTGGAGGATCTCCACTCCGAAGTCGTGTGCAGCCCACGCTGCATAGCAGAGACGGTCACAGCCAGGTGCAGAGTCAGAGGCACGAGCGACGATCTGTTTCATGAGCTTGAACGAGGGGGGAGAGACCACAGAGAAGTCGACGGGCTTGACGAAACGGTCGACATATCGACTGGCAGCAGCACGATCCCAAGGCTTGCGAGCAAAGACTTGTCCCCAATGACGCCCAAGAGCACGACAGCGAGCCTCGGGACCACCCACAGGCACCCCATCCACAACAATGTCACGAATAACCATACGTCGAGCGAAAGGCACCCAGATACGAGCACGACGATCGATAGCTCTCATACGTTTCCGAAGCTGGTTCTGTCCCACGGCATTCCCACCTCCTTCATCTCCCCTACCCGCTACTTGTGCAAGCTGTGACCGTAGAGCAGCCCTGTCGATTTCCGCGGCATTGAGCTGCTGCAAGTTGCACCACTGCATGAAGGATGCTGCGTGCACAAGCTCGACCCGCGTGCCGTTTACTTCTAAAAAGTCGGCCGCTGCAGAGTGAGATCCCAAGAGCCGAATAGCAGCCTGGACATCTTGTCTCCAAACAGCGCGCGCCACAGCTCTGGCAACCAAAAGCAACGTGCGTGGGTCATGGGGATGGCGAAAGAGAAGCCTATCACGCGCCTCACGACTGGCTTCAGTCAGAAGGTACTTGTAGCGTTCCAGCCTTGGGGCCGAGCTCATCGCAGCCAGATGAGGCCGCTCGATTTCCAGATAATTCTCAAGGATATCTCTGAACTCGCGTGGCACAGATGTGTTTGGGGATAGGGCGGTCTCCAGGAGCAGGAGGACAACGCTGGCGAAACAAGACGACATGTGCAGCATGATCACTTACCCTCTGCCTGGACAACGTCTCTGGATCACCTTCTACCTTCGCCGTCACCGTCATCTGAGTCAAGACCCAGCCTGGCCACGAGCACCAACACCGATCTATTGCAGCCACCGCATCTGCCTTCGCATCGTAGTGTGCGGCGGCAGAACATGTAATCTCAACAAGGGAATCGAGAGTGGGAGACCACACAGGGGCTCTCGCATGGAGAGGGCGAGGAATCCTCTGGGCCTCAGATGGCTGCGAGAAGCTCAGCTTTTCCTCAGAGGCAAAGTTGAAATCGCCGTGCACGACAACGAGACAATATTCTGGGGAGGCCTCCGACAGACATTTATCCTGGGTTATCGCACCGCACACGTCCCGAATTTGATTTTGTGTTAAATCGTGATTATGCACATTCCAATGGATGAGCGTGGTTTCCCCAGCGGAAAAGCAAACTCTCAAAACTCGGCCAGGAACATAAACAGAAGGAGTGGCAGTGACACCAGGAGGAGGAGAGGTCAGGCCATTTTGGAGGACTCCAGGGGCCACCGTGGCAATCCCACCACGGACGCGCCCCTCGGGATCTTCCCCGCAGAAGCTCGAAAAGATCAAAGCGCCTGGGAGGATCTTCTTGAGGATGGATTCAAGCTGGGTGAGATCTGGACGGACCTCCTGGAAAGCAGAAACATATGAGCCTAAACACAGACGCTTCATGTATTCCAGCTTCACCGCAGCATGCTTACCTTCATACTGCAACAAAGCCCTGCAATTTCAAGAATTAAATCTCACACCCCCTCGCGCTTCCGCATCCTGAAGAGACGGCAGCGGGGAAACAGCAAAAAGACGAATGAATTGGCTAAAGACACCACTGCGGTCCCTGGTCAGGCTCAATCGCGCTGGCGATCGCACCTGCGAGCTCAGCCTTCGAGAGGTTGAGCTTGTTGAGCGTCGCTCGGTTCCACTTGACCAGCGTCGGTGCGCGGCCCTCCGAGACCTCCAACTTGAGCAGCGGGCCCCAGCCGATGGAGAGCCACCCCCGCTCACGGTCCAGGAAGACACGGTGGGAGCTGCCGAGGTGGTTCGCGAGCAGCGTGCGCACCTTGCGGCCTGTGACCTCCAGCTTGATGGTGCGCGGGTTCTTGTCGCCACTGATGTGCAGCTTCGCGACGCCTTCGCCACTGTGAGCAGGTACTTCGAATTGACGCCAGCCGTTGTCAGTGCGCAGCATGGCCAGCGCTTTCGCCACACGACGAGCAGCCAGCCCTTCTCCACCACGAACGCGGATTGTGAAGAGACGAGATAGAGGATCACGCGACTCAAGAGACCACCATTCGTCTTGATACCGAGCATCCGATAGCCACGGCGCCAGTGCTTCAGCCACAGCCCCTTTGGCCACCAACTTGCCCGCGTTGATCTTGATAATCGAGTAGTCCACCTCGCGTTCGAAACTTGACGAGAAGACATGAGGTTTCTGGGGTTTGGTCTCCGCCATCGCGAGTGCCTCCTGAAGTTTCTTGACAGTCGACTGGATCTCCTCCAGTGTCGATGTGTGGTCACTGATGGTCGCATTGACGGAATCGAAGGGCTCAGACAGGTCATCATACTTGAGATGGAACTCGCGGCGGATCTCATCCAACTTGGGGGTGAGAGTGGATACAATCTGAGAGTCCAACTTCTTGTCGATGCCCTTGAGGTCCTCCTGGCAGGCAGCGAAGCACTTGTCGAAGTTGACCTTGAACGAGTCTCCGATCGACGCCGCTTCCTTGGCCACGGACTCCTTGATGGAGGCAGCCGCGACTTCGTCCACCTGATCCTTGATCGAGCCAAGCTGCTGAGCGATGATGTCCGTGCAGAGTGCGCGGAGGTGCTCCTCACTGAAGCAGTCACCTTCGTCGGAGTCGTCGTTATCCATGGGGACGGGCGCAGGGGATGCGGGTACACTGCCAGTCCCAGCAGAGGCAGCGGCACCACGAGCAGCACGAGGAGTACGCCTGCCTTCCTTGCCAGTCTTGATGACGCCAGCAGCCTTCTTAGCAGCTCCATGCGCAGTCGACATCCACAACACAAAATGAGTCTGAGGGAAATCGATAGCAGGGCTCAGTGAGGGTGCCCAACTCCCCCAGTAAAGGCAGAAAGCAAATGCCAGGCTGAACAGCCTTGCCTGCCGCGGTAACAGCGGTGTCCCTGCAGGCACGGAGGCGCGGAACCCCCAAAGTGCAGGCATCTTGAGCCAAAATGGCTACGGAGGAGGAGGAGGAGGAGGAGGAACAGTGGGACAGAGGAGGAGAAGGAGGAAGAGGAAGAGGCGGAGGAGGAAGAGCAGAAGGAGGAGGAGGAGGAGGAGCAGAGGGAAAGAGGAGAGAAGCATCCGAGGGCCACCGTTGGGCTGGAGAGCAGCGACCGGGCGGGTGGGGCCAAGGCGCGGCGCGCCCTGAGACTGTACTGTGGAAGGGATCGCCCGAACCCCCGTCCACTCCTCCCTTGCCCCTCCAGGGGATAAGGAACATACGGAAGAGCGGAAGGAGGAGGAAGTGAGGGAGGACGGAGAAGGGAGGAGAAGAAAGATGAGGGGAGAAAGGTGTATGAGGACAGATAGGAGGATACGGTGGAGGAACAGCTTGCCCGTGCGTCCTGCTCCCACGTATCTCTTCCCCCCATACTGCCAAGCAGCACGTGCCTGCTACGCCTTTCCCGGAGCAACCAGCCTGTTCTGCCGCTCTGCGTTGCCACCTGCGCTGCTGTCATCGTCTCATCTTCCCGCGCCGCCGCACTCGGCCCGATAGCCTGGAGCCGCGGTATTCCGCTCCTCCTGGCCACCCCCTTCATCTCTTGGGGAACGCCCTTCCTTTCTCCTTTCCCATCCTACATCTTGTCTTTCTCCTGCACTGGTGAATACGGACGGGGCCGCCACCGCATGTAACCCCGCAGGCTGTGAGCGCACTGCTCACGAGCATCGGCCCGTCGCAACATCACCTGAGCATCCGGCCTGCGCGACAGTCTCCGCTTAACCGGAGGGTGGGAGGAGGGAGGGCTTGCGGGGCAAGGGGTAGTGGAGTGAACCCCGTCATAAGTGAGTCGGCAAGTGATCCTGGCGAAGCAGCCGAGCTCTCAGACGTCCCCCGCCATGCGCCGAAGACTGGCCCGCCGTGGGACGAGACGGAGGCGGGCCGACGCAGCTCCGTCGCAGTCGCGGCACACTCGCGGCAGAGCGCGCCTTCCATCGCCAAAGCACGTGGTCGCGGCGGCGCTGCGGCTCGGCGAGGGACGACTCTTAGCGGCGAGCACATCGCCAAACGACCTGCAAGCAGCCATGCCACCGATATTTCGCAGAAGCGGCTTCTACTTTTGTTCGGGCCGCACGCGCACATGCACAAATCAACCTCGCACGGGAAGAAAGTCAACCATGCTGTGGGAGCCGAAGCATGTCACCTCGATGGCCCGTGGGCTCCAAAGATTACCGAATGAGATGAGGGAACGCGGGGGATGAGTAGGACGAGGGTCCGAGAAGGAGGGAATGAGGATTATGAGGAAGACGGCCACGACGTCCATGAGGGCGAAGACGATGAGACACAACTCCTATTCCTCCTGTCTCGACGCACCCAATC